GGCCACGTGACTTGCAGTGGCAGTTCCAGGACCAGAGCTCCCTCTACCCAGACGTCTGGGCCTGGCTGAAGGGCAGAATCTCTGGGCCTCAACTTCTGAGTGCAGGACAGGAGGCCGTCCCTTCATACAGCACCTCAGGTCATTCCCTCCACACACCTGAGCCCTTGGCTGATCCAGAAGCTTCCTTGGACACAGAAGGAAGTGAAGGCTCAGAGCAACAGTGGGCACCCCGCACACAGTCCTGGACCCATCTCTAACGGGTTTCTGCTGGCCTTTGCCTGGGGTGGTCGCTGGAGCGGGGAGCTTTGGTGGCCCACAGGGCTCCCTCCGTAGGAGGCTCTGCCCACCCTCTCCAGGGTGAGGTGGCCCCTCCAGCTAAGGGGCCGTGGGGGCAGGAAGACAGGATTTCGTCAGAGGAAATGGCATCAGCCTTCTTGAGACAGAAGCAGGCAGGGACGGGCCTCCCTTCTCTTAGTCTCTTCCCTGGCCCCAGTAGGCTCCTCTGTGCTTCCCAGGGCCAGTCAGGTCAGCCCTCCCTCCCTCCCTTCACAGGCCGGAGGAAACATGTTCCCCTGTGCTCAGGAAACCCCTCCGTCTGAGCCAGGCCCTCAACACCTCATTCTCCCCATTCAACCCACAGGAAAACGGAGGAGGCAGGGGGGCTTTGGGCTGAACTAGTCCCAGCTGGAAAGATGGGCTGAAGAGAGGACAAGGGACCCCCTGGCTGTCTGGGCAGGGCCTCGAGAGGGTGGTCCGCCCTGCCTGAGGACCTGGCTGAAGGGTCACCTGCTTACCAGGCCGTCCAAGGTGGGGGCCACATAGAACTTACAGCCAACAGCCGCTGGGTAGCTCTGGAGGGCACATGCTTCCCAGGGTCTTCTGCCCCAGTGCTGCCACGTGCGATCTCCTTAGATGCAAGGTCCACATTGATGTCACTTTCAGGCCCTGGACCCAGCTGAACCCCCATGGGAGATTCCTTTTGTGTCAGGATTTCTGCTCTGGGATGATGTGAGGTCTCCTGGGTTTGTTCATCCTCCCTCCCCCAACAGCAGTGACAGGACCCGGGACTGAGCCTGGGGCTGTGGCTCTCTCTCAGACAGGGCTCTGGGAGGAGGAGGAGGGCCTGGAGGAGGGCTTGATTCCAATGTGGGTGGAGCCTAAATGCAGCCCCTTAGCGCAGGTGCTCATGGGAGAGGCATGGGAAGTCGTGTGTGGGGAGCAGGGGCAGGGAGGGGGCGAGTACCCTGCACGGCATGATGAGAACCACTGCTTGGATGTCCCCACATTCCCGCAACAAGTATCCTCCTGTCCTCACTGGCCACATCCATCCCTGCCCCAGCCCCTTGCCCCTCATTGGCACCCACCCTGTTCCTGCTTTCCTCTGATCCCAGTAGATGTGGAGTTCACAAGCCAATTGTAACTTTCTTACAGTAACTCAAAGGACCTGGAATAGCCAACATGCCTTTACAAATGAAGAATGAAGGTGGAAGATTTATAATACCTGACTTCAAGAGTTGCTGTAAAGCTTCTGTAATCAGGCCGTATTATCCTCAAGGTTCTAGAGTGTCCACAGACTGGAGTGTAGGGACGCGATCACCATCGCTCCTGGGTTGAAGCGATTTGCTGACCTCAGACTCCCGAGTAGTGAAGACCACAGGCACACACCACCACACACGGATAATTTTTTTTCTTTTTTTTTTCTGAGAGGTGGGGTCTTACTATGTTGTCTAGGCTGGTCTCGAGCTCCTGGGCTCCAGCAATCCTCCTGCCTTGGCCTCCCTCAGTGCTGGGATGACAGGTGTGAGCCACCTCACCCAGCCCCACTGTATTGCTGATATTCTGGCATCTTGGACCTCCAAGACCAGAAAGAGGGACTGCCCCTGCCAGAGCCAACCAGTTGTTAAAGCTAGCAAATGACCCCTCTGAGAGTGTCCCTTTCTTTTTTTTTTCCGAAATGGAGTCTCGCTCTGTTGCCAGGCCGGAGTGCAGTGGCACAGCCTCAGCTCACTGCAACCTCCACCTCCCAGGTTCAAGCGATTCTCCTGCCTCAGCCTCCCAAGTTGCTGGGATTACAAGTGCACACCACCATGCCCAACTAATTTTTGTATTTTTAATAGAGATGGGGATTCACCATGTTGGCCCAGATGGTCCCTGACCTTGTGATCTGCCCACCTCGGCCTCCCAAAGTGCTGGGATTACAGGCTTGAGCCGCAGTGCCTGGCTGAGTGTGCCTTTCATATGCAAACCAACTAATCCAGGGCCCCAACACTGAACCAGCTCTTCTAGCTGCCTCTCACCTTTCAGGAGGCAGTATTTCTCTGCCTTCATCACCCTGGGCCAGGCACCAAATAACAAGTGACAGCCCCTAATCCCCAGAGCCTGCTAACATTATTCTAACTAGCCAATCCTAAATCTGCATACCCTTCCTTGCCTTTTCCATGGAAAGCATAACAAAAGGTCTCACCCCCATTTCCCCCTGGCTTCCTCTGCCCCGCCCCGAGGGACTCTGGTGCTTTCCCAAGTGGCCCTGCATGGCTGTGTCTCTCATTTCTGGGGATCTGTGAGGATACACTGCTTCCCTCACGACCCTCATTTTGTGGCCATACTTGATGGAAAGAATGGCAGGTGCATTTTGTTTTATTATTTTATTTATTAATATTATTATTATTATTATTTTGAGATGGAGTCTCACTCTGTCACCCAGGCTGCAATGCAGTGGCACTATCTCGGCTCACTGCAACCTCTGCCTCCCGGGTTCAAGCAATTCTCCTGCCTCAGCCTCCCGAGTAGCTGGGACTACAGGTGCCCACCACTATACCCAACTAATTTTTGTAGTTTTAGCAGAGATGGGGTTTGCCATGTTGGCCAGGCTGGTCTCGAACTCTTTACCTGAGGTGATACACCTGCCTAGGCCTCCCAAAATGCTGAGGTTACAGGCGTGAGCCACCACGCCCCGCCAGCAGGTACATTTTATTTATTTTTATTTTTTTGAGACAGAGTCTCGCTCTGTCACCCAGGCTGGAGTGCAATGGCTCAATCTCAGCTCACTGCAAACTCCACCAAGCGATTCTCCTGCCTCAGCCTCCTGAGTAGCTGGGATTACAGGCACGTGCCACCATGCCCGGCTACTTTTTGTATTTTTAGTAGAGGTGGGGTTTCGCTATGTTGTTCAGGCTGGTCTCAACCTCCTGACCTCATGATCTGCCTGCCTCAGCCTCCCAAAGTGCTGGGATTACAGGTGTGAGACACCGCGCCCAGCCCAGCAGGTGCATTTTAAAAGAGCTTTTAACTCTCTGGACAATCCCAGGAGGCAGGCAGCATCTCTGTTATGGTCCTCAATTCATACAGAGAGAAACGGAGGCCCTGAGGGGGGTTCTCAGCCTGGCCTGAGGTCACATGGCCCATGAACATCCACTGTGGCATCAGGACTGAGCCAAGGGCCCGTGCGGCCGACCACTTCCCCATTCAGTGACATCAGCCGGCAGTCCTCTGGGCCTCTGTGACAACCACGCTTCCCTTTTCTGTGTTGTCTTCCTTCTGCACAGGGAGGTGCTTGAGGGCTGGGGCACTGGCTGGTGTCGCTTTGGATCCTTGTCACCCAGTGCAGTGTGCCGGGCAGTCAGTGCTGACCAAATGTGTATGGAGGGCGTGGAGGCATCTTCAAGGGGTGGGGATCAGGCGACGATCATTTTCAGTAGAGATGGAGTTTCACCATATTGGCCAGGTTTTTTGTTTTGTTTTGTTTCGTTTTGTCTTTTTTTGAGACAGCGTCTCTCTCTGTCACCCAGGCTGGAGTCCAGTGGTGCAATCACAACTCACTGCGGCCTCAATTGCCGCTTGAGGGCTCAATTGATTCTCCCACCTCGGCCTCAAAATGTGCTGGGGTTACAGGCAGGAGCCACTGTGCCTGGCCCATTCATGCCTTTATAGTGAAGCCCATAAAAACCCAAAAGGGATGCAGAGGGCTTCTGGATAACTGAACTCATGGAGCTTCCTAGAGGGTGCAGCACCTGGGGAAGACATGGAAGCTCTGCACGCCTTCCCCCAGGCCTCTCTCTGTGTATCTCTTGTATCTGGCTGTTCATCACTATCCTTTGTAATATCCCATGTTTTTATTTTGAGATACGGTCTCACTATGTTGCCCAGGTTGGTCTCAAACTCCTGTGCTCAAGTAAACCTCCCCGCTCAGCCTCTCGAAGTGCAGAGATCACAGGCATGAGCCCTGGCGCCAGGCCCTATAATATCCTTTATAAGGGGGCACATGTGAGTAAAGGGTTTCCCTGAGTTCTAGGTGCCATTCTAGAAAATTAACTGAACCCAAGGAGGGGATCATGGGAACCTCAATTTTTATAGCCCTGTGTCAGAAGCACAGGCACCACGTGAGCTTTTGACTGGCATCTGATGCGGGGGCAGCCTTGTGGAACTGAGCCCCCAACCCGTGCAATCACAGGAAGCAGCTGATTTGCTGTACTAGCCTTGGCCACCACACCATCTCTGACAGTGTTCCTGCCCTGCCCACTCCTTAACGATTACCTTTCAGCCAGGCACGGTGGCTCACGCCTGTAATTGCAGCTATTTGGGAAACTGAAGCTGGAGGATTGCTTGAGCCCAGGAGTTTGAGACCAGCCTAGACAACTTGGCGAAACCCCAGTACCACTAAAAAATACAAACATTAGCTGAGTGTGGGCGTGCACGCCTGTAATCCCAACTACTTGGGAAGCTGAGGCACGAGAATGGCTTGAACCCAGGAGGCAGAGGTTGCAGTGGGAGCTGAGATTGTGCCACTGCACTCCAGCCTGGGTAATGACAGAGTGAGGCTCTGTCTCAAAAAAAAAAAAAAAAAAAAAAAGATTTCCCTTCTTAAACTTGCTTCCAACTGCCTTAAATCTGTGAGCGCCATCTGTTACTAGCGGGGATACTCCCTGCATCACGACTGGACACAGATACTGCAGAGCAGGAAGGGGCACTTGGCAGCCACGTGGGAGATGCACAGGGAAGTGTCAGCAGCGTTTCACACTGTTTATTCCCCAAAACCCCTGCCACAGGAGAAGACAGCCACTGTACAGATTGGAAAATGTGGACGAGGAGAAAAGGGGTATATGGTAAGCAAAATAAATTGTAGTTTTCCATCCTTGGGGAAGACAAAGGAACTCTTAGCACTGCTATAATGAATAGCCCCCGAATGCCAGTGATTTAATTCAGTGGAGTTCAGACCTCATTCCTGTGTCACTGCAGAGTGGATGCTCCTGGATGAAGGCTCTGGTAGGTATCTCTCCTCCAGTTGGTGATTCAGGGACCCAGGCTCCTTCTGCCTTGTGGCTCTGCCTTTTTTAGGTCCTCAGGATGCTCTCCATGTATCTTGCCAATGGGGAGCCAGTGTGGAGTACTCACAAGCGGGTCTCACAGCACATCCTCTGGGGCTAATACACATCCCGTCTCTCCACACCCTGTTGGTCGGAAGTCACTGCTTGGCGCCCTGCTATCTGCAGGAGGGGAAGTGTTTTTAGATGCAGGGCCAGGATTATTACAGTGGGGCAAGTGAGGCAATTGCTTCAGAGATCAGATTTAAGTGGGTGGTGGCAAAAACTCAGGAGAATTTGTGGCAGGCTGGGCTTGTGGGGTTCTTAGCAGCACACTCCCTGTGGAGTGGCCCCCTGCCCGCACCTGCACCCCCTACCCCCTTAGGGAGGCCCAGCACTCACCTGGCTGGAGTTGTGGCTTTAGTCTGCTGCTGACCTGTAGGGAGACCAACAGTGAGTCAGGGTGGCATCCAGGTGGCGGCAGTCTCCATCCCACCTTCTCTGCTGTGCCCTAGGCTGAGGCCCTCCTTAGAGGGACCAGAGCAGCAGAGCAGCTCCATGCAAACCCATCAGGAAGGGCCTGGGACTCAGCCGGCACCCTGAGGCAACCCCCTGACCTGTCCTCCCTGTTGTCCACCACATCACCTCCTGAAACCGGCACCCCCCAACCTTGATACCCTCTGTTGGCTTCCTTCACTCTTGAGCTCTCTGCTCACCCCCAACCTGGCTCCCTCCACCGCTGAGCCCTTGCCCACCCATCTCTTCCCTCCCTTCCCTTCCCTTGACATATGCACCCCAACCTCTCCCTCCAAGTCCTCAGGGAGACTATGCCTGTGGTTTCCTTCTGGGCGTCGGCTGGGTCTGCCCTCCAGCCTTGGGAGCCTCATGCTTGGGACTCATGTTTGCGGCTGTTCAAGTTCTGTTGCCACCACTAGGACACCCTCCCCTCTGTCTGGTCTCACCCTGAATCTTCTGCTGCCTATTCCACTGTGCTCTGCCCCTCTTGTCCCCCTGGCATCCTTGCAGCGCTTCCCAAGCACTGGGCCCCTGGTCCACAGACATCCCCTCCACCATCCAGCCTCCTGCCGGGTTCGGCGTCCACAGAGACACCCTCTGAACCCAGGCCTCACGGCACCCCTCAACTCTGGGGGCCTTCCCTTCCACTTCTATAGGTTGTTTTTTAATGTTGGGACTGGGAACTCTGAAATATTAACTGCTAGTATCATTTTCATGTTGCAACTTTTACTCCTTCCAGCGTAACACCTAGGCCGGGTGCTGTGGCTCACGCTGGTGATAATCCCAGGATTGGGAGGCCAAGGTGGACAGATCACCTGAGGCCAGGAGTTCGAGATCAGCCTGGACAATATGGTGAAAACCCGTCTCTACTAAAATTACAAAAATTAGCCAGGTGTGGTGGTGTGTGCCTGTAGTCCCAGCTACTCAGGAGGCTGAGGTAGGAGAATTGCTTGACCCCGGGAGGTGGAAGTTGTACTGAGCCAAGATCACGCCACTGCACTCCAGCCTGGGTGACAAAGCGAGACTCTGTCTCAAAAAAAAAACACCTAGAATTTACCATCCTAGGCTGGGCGCGGTGGCTCAAGCCTGTAATCCCAGCACTTTGGGAGGCCGAGGTGGGCAGATCACGAGGTCAGGAGATCGAGACCATCCTGGCTAACACGGTGAAACCCCGTCTCTACTAAAAAATACAAAAAAACTAGCCGGGCGAGGTGGCGGGCGCCTGTAGTCCCAGCTACTCGGGAGGCTGAGGCAGGAGAATGGTGTGAACCCGGGAGGCAGAGCTTGCAGTGAGCCGAGATCCAGCCACCGCACTCCAGCCTGGGCGACAGAGCGAGATTCCGTCTCAAAAAAAAAAAAAAAAAAAAAGAATTTACCATCCTAACCATTGCTTAGTGTACAGTTTGGCAGTGTTAAGTGTATTCACATGGTTGTGAGACAGATCTCCAGAACATTTTCATCTTGCGAAACTGAAACTCAAAAGTCCTCTTTCTTTTCTTTTCTTTTTTTTTTTTTTTTTTGAGACAGAGTCTGGCTCTGCTGCCCAGGCTGGAGTGCAGTGGCCGGATCTCAGCTCACTGCAAGCTCCGCCTCCCGGGTTTACGCCATTCTCCTGCCTCAGCCTCCCGAGTAGCTGGGACTACAGGCGCCCGCCACCTCGCCCGGCTAGTTTTTTGTATTTTTTAGTAGAGACGGGGTTTCACCCTGTTAGCCAGGATGGTCTCGATCTCCTGACCTCGTGATCCACCCGTCTCTGCCTCCCAAAGTGCTGGGATTACAGGCTTGAGCCACCGCGCCCGGCCCTTTTCTTTTTTTTTTTTTGAGACGGAGTCTTGCTCTGTCACCCAGGCTGCTATGCAGTGACGTGATCTCAGCTCACTGCAACCTCCATCTCCTGGGTTCCAGTGATTCTCCTGCCTCAGGCTCCTGAGTAGATGGGATTACAGGTGCCCGCCACCACACCCAGCAAATTTTTTGTATTTTTTGTATTTTTTTTTTGAGACGGAGTCTCACTGTGTCGCTCAGGCTGGAGTGCAGTGGCGTGATCTCAGCTCACTGCAAGCTCCGCCTCCTGGGTTCACGCCATTCTCTTGCCTCAGCCTCCGACTAGCTGGGACTACAGGCGCCCACCACCACGCCCAGCTAGTTTTTTGTATTTTTAGTAGAGACAGGGTTTCACCGTGTTAGCCAGGATGGTCTCGATCTCCTGACTTCGTGATCCACCTGCCTCGGCCTCCCAAAGTGCTGGGATTACAGGCTTGAGCCACCGTGCCGGGCATTTTTTGTATTTTTAGTAGAGACAGGGTTTCGCCATGTTGGCCAGGCTGGACTTGAACTCCAGACCTCAAGTGATCCCCCCACCTTGGCCTTCCAAGGCATGTCCCTCACAGGCATGAGCCACCACACTGGGCCAGTAAAACTGAAACTCTATGTTCTTCAAATGTTAACTCTCCATTCCCATCTCCTCCATGCCCCTGACAACCACCTTTCTGCTTCCTGTTTCTAGGAATCTGGCTACTCCAGATACTCATATAAATGGAATCAGACATTATTTATCTTTTTGTAACTAGCTTATTTCGCTTAGCATAATGTCTTCAAGGCTCATTTATACTAGAGCATGTGTAAGAATTTCCTTCCCTTTAAAGGTTGAGGCCAGGCACAGTGGCTCACCCCTATAATCCTAGCACTTTGGGAGGCCAAGGTGGGTGGATCCCCTAAGGTCAGGAGTTAGAGACCAGCCTGGCCAACATGGTGAAACCCCATCTCTACCAAAAATACAAGAAGTAGCTGGGCATGTTGGCACACACCTGTGATCCCAGTCACTCAGGAGGCTGAGCCAAGAGAATCGCTTGAACCTGGGAGGTGGAGGTTGCAGTGAACTGAGATTGCACTGAACTGAGATTGCACTGCTGCACTCCAGCCTGGGTGACAAAGCAGGACTTTGTCTCAAAATAAATAAGTAAATAAAAAAGGTTTAATAATATTCTTTTTTTCAGAACTTTTTTATTTTTATTTTTATTTTTTTTTAAATAGACAGGATCTTACTCTGTCACCCAGGATGGTGGAGTGCAGTGGCACAATCATAGCTCACTACACCCTCAACCTCCTGGGCTCAGGTCATTCTCCCAACCTCAGCTTCCTGAGTAGCTGGGACTACAGACACCATATTTTGTTTGATGGACATTTCAGTTGATTCTACATTTGGGGTATTTTGAGTAATGCTACTACAAACATTGGTGTGCAAACCCCTCTTCCTGACCCTGCTTTCAATTTGTTGAATATATGCCCAGAAGTGAGATTGTTGGATCATATGGTAGTTCTACTTTTAATATTGCGGAGGCTAAGGCAACTCCATCTTGGAGGCTAATCTGCCATGGCAGCTTCTGATTAACTCCAGTTTTGGGAAGGCCTCTAAGATTTCCAGTTGATCTATCATTCCTTGTGTAACAGCAGGTACATATCACAAATCCTGCCCTAGAGTCAAACAACCTTGATATGATCATACTTCAACTGTGGAGTACAAACCATCCTTCCCCTGTGGAGTACAAACCATCCTTCCCCTGTGGAGTACAAACCATCCTTCCCCTGTGGAGTACAAACCGTCCTTCCCCTGTGGAGTACAAACCGTCCTTCCCCTGTGGAATACAAACCGTGGGTCTGGGGGTAATAGTGCAAGGACCTACCATCTTGTCTCATCACCCTGTTTTCTCCTGTATTTTCTTCTAGACATTGGGCAGTTTTGGGTCTTACGTTGAGGTCTTTAACCCATTTTCAGTTAAATAGGTAATAGTTAATAAGGTAGAGATGCACCTCTATGTTTTGCATGAGGGTATCCAGCTTTCTCAACACCATTTGTTGAAGAAACTATTCTTCGCTGAGTGGTCATCTTGGCACCCTTGTGGAGGATCATTTGACTGTCTATGTGAGGGTTTATTTGTGGGCTCCTCTGTATTCTATTCCACTGATCTATTTACTTTTTTTTTTGGCAGAGTTTCACTCTTGTTGCCCAGGCTGGAATGCAATGGCGTGATCTCGGCTCACTGCAACCTCTGCCTCCCGGGTTCAAGTGATTCTCCTGCCTCAGTCTCCCGAGTAGCTGGGATTACAGGCATGAGACACCGCACCCAGCTAATTTTTTATTTTTGGTAGAGATGGGGCTTCTCCACGTTGGTCAGGCTGGTCTCAAACTCCCAATCTCAGGTGATCCGCCCAGCTCGGCCTCCCAAAGTGCTGGGATGACAGGCGTGAGCCACTGCACCCAGCCTATTTATGTCTTTATTTCAGTACCACATTATTTTGATTACCATAGTTTTTAATATATTCTGAAATCAGGGAAGGCGTGTCCTCTAACTCTGTTCACCTTTCTAAAGATTATTTTGGTTTGTGGTAGTGCTTTCAGATTCCATTTGAATTTCTGGATGAATTTTCTGTTTGAGCCCAAAAAAAAATGCCATTGGGGTTTACATAGGATTTGCATTGGATCTGGAGATTGTTGTTGGTGGCATGGACACCTTGACAATATTAATTCTTCCATTCCACGAACAAGAATGTCATCCACTTATTTGTGTCTTCTTTTCATTTGTTCAGAAATGTTTCGTAGTTTCAGTGTACAAGTCTTTCATTTCCCTGGTTAGGTTTATTCCAAAGATCTTACTTTATTTTTTGACATTATTGTAAGTGGAATTGTTTTCTTAATTTTCTTTTCAGATTGTTTATGGTTAGTGCACAAAAATGCAGTACATTTTTGCTTGTATGTTAAATTGGTTTCCTGGAACTTTGCTGAATTCATTCGTTCAACAGGTATTTTTGTGCAATACTTAGGATTTTCTACATATGAGATCTTGTCACCTGCAAACAGAGATCATTTTGCTTGTTCCTTTTCAAATTAGATGCCTTTTGATTCTTTGCTTAATTGCTCTGGCTAGGACTTCAAATCTTTTTTTTTTTTTTTTTTTTTTTTTTTTAAGAAGAGATGGGGTTTTGCCATGTTGGCCAGGGTGGTCTCAAACTCGTAGCCTCAAGTAATCCACCTACCTCGACTTCCAAAAGTGCTGGGATAACAGGTGTGAGCCACTGTGCCTGGCCTGACTTCAAATCCTATGTTGAAGAGAAGTAGTGAGATAGGGCATCCTTCTCTTGTTCTTGATCTTGGAGGCAAATATTTCAGTCTTTCACCTAAAATGACTGAAAGACTTTCAGCTGTGGGCCTTGCATGACTGGCCTTTATTATGTTGCAGTACATTCCTTCTCTTCCTGGCTTGTGGAGTGTTTTACCAGGAAAGGGTGTTTAAGCTGGGCACCGTGGCTTAGCCTGTAATCCCAGCACTTTGGGAGGCCAAGGCGGGCTGATCAGTTGAGGTCAGGAGTTCGAGACCAGCCTGGCTAATATAGTAAAACCACGTTTCTTCCAAAAATAAAATATTAGCTGGGCATAGTGGTGCACGCCTGTAATCCCAGCTCCTCAGAAGGCTAAGGTGGAAGAATCTCTTGAACCTGGGAGGCAGAAGTTGCAGTGAGCCGAGATGGCACCGCTGCACTCCAGGCTGGGCAACAGAGTGAGGCTCCAACTCAAAAAAAAAAAAAAAAAAAAAAGGAAAGGGTATTCAATCTTGTCCAATGTTTTTTCTGCAGCAGTTGAGATAATCATGTGGGTTTTGTCCTTTTTTCTGTTAATGGGGTGCACTACATTGATTAATTTTCCTGTCTTGGGTGATACCTGCATTCCAGGACTAACTCCAACTTGGTCATGGTATACAATCCTTTTAACGTGCTGTCAAAGCTGGTTTGCTAGAATTTTGCTGAAGATTTTTCCATCAATATTCACCGGCCTTTTCGTCTGTATTTTGTGTGTTGTTTTCTTGCAGGGTCTTTATCTGGCTCTCAGATCATGGTGTTGCTGACCTCACAGAACGAACCTGGAAGTGTTCCCTCTGTCTTTGGTCATTATCCCGCCCTACCTCTTGTTGAACTTCATTGACTCTTGTTCCTTTGTGATATCCTATTTTGCAGATTCTCCAAGCTTCCTACCGGCCCCCCTGCTCTCCATTCCTGCTCTCTCACTAGCTCCTGGACCTTCTGTGATCTCCTGATCTCCTGATTTTCTGCTGGAATCACAGGTGTGAGCCACTGCACCCGGCAAACAATTTTTTATATAGTTAAATTTATCAATATTTTAATATATGGCTCCTGGGTTTGGTCATACTGAGACTGTCTCCACTCTATGGTTATAAAATAATCTCACGTGCTTCCATGAGGAAGTTGAGGTGCACAGCCTTTGTACCCGCGAGCCTGTCCCCTGGCGAGGGTATGAGGCCAGGATCTGGCTGCAGGCAGCCCTGACCCCAAGCTCCTCCCCTCTGTGCTTTCCTAGCTGATAGGACGAATCTCCTTGCACTGAAGACTTTCTTTTTTTTCTTTTTATAGACGGAGTCTCGCTCTGTCACCCTGACTGGAGTGCAGTGTCACCATCTCGGCTTACTGCAGCCTCTGCCTCCCAGGTTCAAGCAATTCTCCTGCCTCAGCTTCCTGAGTAGCTGGGACTACAGGTGTCCGCTACCACGCCCAGCTAATTTTTTGTGTTTTTAATTGAGACGGGGTTTCACCATTTTGGCCAGGCTGGTCTTGAATGCCTGACCTCAGGTGATCCACCCGCCTCAGCCTCCCAAAGTGCTGGGATCACAGGCGTCAGGCCACTGTGCCTGGCCTGAAGACTTTCTTGATGGTAACTTACTGTCAGGTTTGGAGGATATTGAGGTAGAACTCATTGATGCCTGGAGCCTTGTCCTCTCTTTTGAACTGGGAATGTGTACATCCAAGTTTCCAAAGGACAACTCTGCTGAGATGCCACACATGGATCTCCAGTATAACAGATTCCAAACTGGCTGGGTGAGGTGGCTCAAGCTTGTAATCCCAGCACTTTGGGAGGCTGAGTTGGGCGGATCACGAGGTCAGGAAATCGAGACCATCCTGGCTAACACGGTGAAACCCCATCTCTACTAAAATTACAAAAGAGTAGCCATGCGTGGTGGCAGGCACCTGTAGTCCCAGCTACTCAGGAGGCTGAGGCAGGAGAATGGCGTGAACCCAGGAGGCGGAGCTTGCAGTGAGCTGAGATTGTGCCACTGCACTCCAGCCTGGGCGACAGAACAAAACTCCATCTCAAAAAACAAACAAACAAACAAAAAAAACAAAACAAAACAAGACAACAAAAACAAAAACAGAAACAAAAAAAGATTCCAAACTAAACGAGGCATCATTCCCCTCCAAACATAGTCTCCTCCTCTATTGTCTACTGTACTTGATGGTTTCATCACAGCCCCATGCACTCAAGTGGAAACGGATACTTCTTCCTGCTCCCTCGCCCCTACAGCAAACAATCAATCTCATTGGTTTTTATTACTTAATATTTTCTAGGATCTGGCCCTTTCCCTCTCTCCGCCTCACCCCTGCACTGCACTGACCCAGCCTGGCCCACCTCTGCCCGCTGCTCCACAGACTGAGGTCTCCCATGGGGAGCTGAGGTCACCCTTTGCTGCCTCACGCTGCCTCTGGGATCAGAGGCTATTGGATATGATTTCCAAGGTTGTCTCCTCTCCTCTCCTGCCTCCTCCACCAGCATCAAGCTTCCCACAGCTCCTGGAACGGTTTCCTCCACCCGCAAGGAAAGTGAGTGACCTCTACACCACCCTCACCTCTTGCCAAGTGAATTCTTTTCTTCTCTGAGACATCTGCAGATGTCACCTCCTCTGGGAAGTCCTCCCTGATTACCTCTCTCTCCTCCTACCCTTGTTTAGCAATACCATAGCTCTTTCTCAATGAAGCAATTAGTCCTTGAGGCAACTGACAACTCCATACCCCCAGTTCCCTGAGAACAGAGCCTATGCTTTATCTACTTTGCTTCTCCAGTTTCAAGCCAGGCCGTGGCAGGTGGGCAGTCAGCCAGTGCCTGCTGAGCTCAGCCCAATTCTGGTCGCTTCTCCTCTCTCTGTCCTTTTCCCAGGGAAGACCCTCCCCTCTCCAGGAACCTTCAGGGGAGGGTAAATGATTGATGACTGAGAGAGAAGTAGTTGGGGGGATCCAGCTGTGTAGAGAGGACTGGGGGCTCTCTTTTCTTTCTTTTCTTTTTTTTTTTTTTTTTTGAGACGGAGTCTCGCTCTGTCGCCCAGGCTGGAGTGCAGTGGCGCGATCTTGGCTCACTGCAAGCTCCGCCTCCCAGGTTCCCGCCATTCTCCTGGCTCAGCCTCCCAAGTAGCTGGGACTACAGGCGCCCACAACCGCGCCCAGCTAATTTTTTGTATTTTTAGTAGAGACGGGGTTTCACCGTGGTCTCGATCTCCTGACCTTGTGATCCGCCCGCCTCGGCCTCCCAAAGTGCTGGGATTACAGGTGTGAGCCACCGCGCCCGGCTCTTTCTTTCTTTCTTTTTTTTTTTTTTTTTTTTTTTTTTTTTTTTTTTTTTTTGAGACGGAGTCTTATTCTGTCACCAGGCTGGAGTGCAGTGATGCGATCTTGACTCACTGCAACCTCTACCTGCAGGATTCAAGCGATTCTCCTGCCTCAGCCTCTGAGTAACTGGTCCTACAAGCGTGCGCAACCATGCCCAGCTAATTTTTGTATTTTTTTTTTTTTGAGATGGAGTCTCACTCTGTCGTCCAGGCTGGAGTGCAGTGGCGCGATCTCGGCTCACTGCAAGCTCCACCTCCCGGGTTCACGCCATTCTCCTGGCTCAGCCTCCCGAGTAGCTGCGACTACAGGCGCCCACCACCGTGCCCGGCTAATTTTTTGTATTTTTAATAGAGACGGGGTTTCACTGTGATCTCGATCTCCTGACCTCGTGATCCGCCCGCCTCGGCCTCCCAAAGTGCTGGGATTACAGGCGTGAGCCACCGCGCCCGGCAAATTTTTGTATTTTTAGTAGAGATGGGGTGTCATCATGTTGGCCAGGATGGTCTCAATCTCTTGACCTCATGATCCACCCGCCCTTGGCCTCCCAAAGTGCTGGGATTACAGGCGTGAGCCACTGCACCCAGGCTGGGAGTTCTCACACGTGACCCTGTATGACCCCACTGCAGGAGCCCCCGAGATGCAGACGCCCCAGCACAGGCCACGGAGTTGGCCTCAGTGGGCTTGAGGGGAGCCAGCAGGGTCTGCGTATTTCTGAAATCCCTTAGCTGCAGGTGGGCTCTGAGAAACCCCAGCTTGGAGGCTTGAGGAGACAGCATGTCCTGGGCACTTACCTTTCCTTCTTTTCCACCTGAGGAGGCACAGCAGTCCCAAAGTGACAGTTTTGAGCACAGCAACAGCCAATGCCACACTGATAGCAGTGTCCAGACTTAGGTGCCATGATTCTGAGTGCCCTTTGCCTTCTGTGACCCTGAGTCCAGCTGTGGTGGTTGCACTGCTGGGCCTCCAGGTGGTGGTGGTCATGACAGCTGGGGAGAGATGAGGAATGAGCAGACCCTCTTCTGGGGGTGCGGGGCATCAGGGTGAAAGGCATGGTGTGCTGCTTTCTAGATTGGGGGACATTCAGGATGAGCAAGCCGCTCTCAGAAGCCCACACAGGGAAGGGGTAGCAAGGTGAAATGCTGACAGCTCTCAATCCAGACAACTGGGTTTAAATGTGAAGACGTCACCAGTCACCAAAAACCCTGACTGCAGTGGGCAAGGCGCGTGCCGGGGCAGCTGGACTCACCCTGGGTGATGGTGAGTTTGGTCCCCTCGATGGACTGCAACCGCTGCCTCCCTGATCTCCGTGTGTCCAGCTCGACTCGGCAGAAATACACAGACTGGTCCTCCTTCCGCAGGTTCCAGATCCTGAGGAGCCCGCGGTCCTGACCCTCTGTCCAGTTCAGAAGGAGCCGGTTCGAGTAATCCTCGTGAATGAAAGCTGGCCTTGTTCTGTAGAAGAACTCCCCGTGGAAGTTGCCCCGTCTCCAGGATATTTTCATGTTGGGAGCTGCGGCTAACTCCCAGGGGTGATAGAAGGAGAAGGGAATTTCCACGGAGCCACCCATAGGGGCTGAGAGGTGTTTTCGTTGAGTGACCCCATAAGGGCCGCTTGGACCGGATCTCGCGGAGCCACCTAGAGGTGGGAGGGAGAGAGTGGGGGAGAGACCTTGAAGCCACCGCAAGACACAAAGAGGGTGACCCAGACCCTCCCGCACCTTCAGCCACAGGCAGTCGTGTGACAGGTGGCTGGACTGACTTCTGGCCTGGGTCTCCCACTCTTCAGGCATGGGAGAGAGAGGATGGGGGCACCCGCCCCTGTGGGACCCGCCCTTGTTTCCTGGTGGTGGGAGCCTGGGCCCTCCCCAAGATGTCCCACCTTTGTCTTGGGTTGGCCCCTCCTGTGGTTTGGGCAGAGCCCACATCTGGGCGGTCCTGGGCACTTACCAGGTTGCTGAAATGCTGGCGGCAGCAGCAGGGGCAGCAGGGGCAGCAGCAGGGGCAGCAGCAGGGGCCGGCCCATGGCTTTGCTCTCCTCCAGGGGATGGGGAGACCAGCAGAGCCGTCCAGGCAGAGAGGGGCCCTGTGGTGGGGCCACCTGGGGGTTGAGGTGAGTGGGGGCAGCCGGGCTCAGGCTCCGCAGAGGGCTGTGGGGGCCGGGAGCCTTCCTGAAACCCGTGCACCTCCAGGATGACCAGCACTTCCTTTATCCATCTGGTTTTTTTCCTCTTATTGCAAAAGGGCCTCCCTTGTGGTCAGTGTCAAGTCAGCCCTGCCCAAGGGCCCCAGTGCCCATCCTCCTGCTGAGGGACCGGGTCTGGCCTTGGCTGGCTGGGCCCCTCCCACCTGGATCCCTGCAGCCCCACCTCATCAGCTTCACTTCTCATCCTTCTCTTTGCCCAGGGCCAGCACAGGATCTTTCAGGGAGAGGAAAGGCAGGCCTGAATCTCTGCCCTTCTGTGTCCCAGATTCAGTCCTCAGGGAGGAGGAAGCCGGTGGAGGTCACAGGTGCTCAGTCCCCAGCCCAAGCACCAGAGTCCCCAGCTTGTCTTCTTTCCCTCTCTCTCCGGCAGGGACTCCCATGCAGTCCCCAGGCACCACCAGGGCCCAGCTGGCCTCTTCCCATGCCAGGCCCACTCCCTTGGTGCAAGCACCCCACCTTGCTCAAGGGGTGAGGGGGCTGATGGTCCCCTACACAGACTGGTCCTTCTGGAGGCCACCCCTTCACCTCCTAGACGTGAGACTGGATCTGCAGGCTCCCCTCTGACCTCCCCATCCTACACAGGCAGGGACAGGGCTCCAAGAAGCCCTGCCCCAGGCCACGTGACTTGCAGTGGCAGTTCCAGGACCAGAGCTCCCTCTACCCAGATGTCTGGGCCTGGCTGAAGGGCAGAATCTCTGGGCCTCAACTTCTGAGTGCAGGACAGGAGGCCGTCCCTTCATACAGCACCTAAGGTCATTCCCTCCACACACCTGAGCCCTTGGCTGATACAGAAGCTTCCTTGGACACAGAAGGAAGTGAAGGCTCAGAGCAACAGTGGGCACCCCGCACACAGTCCTGGACCCATCTCTAACGGGTTTCTGCTGGCCTTTGCCTGGGGTGGTCGCTGGAGCGGGGAGCTTTGGTGGCCCACAGGGCTCCCTCCGTAGGAGGCTCTGCCCACCCTCTCCAGGCTGAGGTGGCCCCTCCAGCTAAGGGGCCGTGGGGGCAGGAAGACAGGATTTCGTCAGAGGAAATGGCATCAGCCTTCTTGAGACAGAAGCAGGCAGGGACGGGCCTCCCTTCTCTTAGTCTCTTCCCTGGCCCCAGTAGGCTCCTCTGTGCTTCCCAGGGCCAGTCAGGTCAGCCCTCCCTCCCTCCCTTCACAGGCCGGAGGAAACATGTTCCCCTGTGCTCAGGAAACCCCTCCGTCTGAGCCAGGCCCTCAACACCTCATTCTCCCCATTCAACCCACAGGAAAACGGAGGCATGGGGGCTTTGGACTGAACTGGTCCCACATGCAACGGTGGGCTGAAGAGAGGACAAGGGGCCCCCTGGCTGTCTGGGCAGGGCCTTGAGAGGGTGGTCCACCCTACCTGAGGACTTTTTTTTTTTTAAGATGGTCTCACTGTGTCACCCAGGCTGGAGTTCAGTAGTGCGATTTTGGTTCACAGTAACCTCTGCCTCCTGGGTTCAAGTAATTCTCCTGCCTCAGCCTTCTAAGTAGCTGGGAATTACAAGTGCGTGCCACCATGCCCAGTTAATTTTTGTATTTTTAGTAGAGACAGGGTTTCACCATGTTGGCCAGGCTGGTCTTGAACTCCTGGCCTCAAGTGATCTGCCCACCTCAGCCTCCCAAAGTGCTGGGATTACAGGCATGGGATACGACGCCCAGCCACTGAGGACTGACTCTTGGTTCCATTCCTGCCTTGCCCATGAGCCATGGGACCCAGCTGGAAGGTCACCTGCTTACCAGGCTGCCCGAGGAGGGGGTGACATAGAACTTTTAGCCAACAGCCTCTGGGTAGCTCTGGAGGGCACATCCTCCCCAAGGGCCTCAGGCCTGGTACCGCCATGTGCGTTCTTAGATGCAAGGTACACGTTTATGTCACTTTCCGGGCCCTGGACCCAGCTGAACCCCCATGGGAGATTCCTTTTGCGTCAGGATTTCTGCTCTAGGATGGTGTGAGGTCTCCTGGGTGGTTCATCCTCCCTCCCCCAACATCAGTGACAGGGCCTGGGGCTAAGCCTGGGGCTGTGGCTGTCTCTCAGAGGGGGCTTTTGGGAGAAGGCAGCCCTGGAGGAGGGCATGATTCCAACAGGGGCAGAGCCTAAATGCAGCCTGTTAGCCCAGCAGGTGGCCATGGGAGAGGCGTGGGATGCAGTGTGTTCAGGTGCAGGGGGAGGGAGGGGACCAGGACCCTGAACCACGTTTTGAGAACTGCTGCTTGTATGTCCCCACCTTCCCTCAAAAACTATCCTCCTTTCCTCACCAGCCAAGTCTATCCCTGCCCCAGCCCCTTGCCCCCCGCTCCTTGGCACCCACCCTGAGATCAGGAATGAGGCACAGACGTCTGCTCTCACTGCCTCCCTTCACAGTACTGTCCTAGCCAGTGTGCTACGCTGGAAATACAAGTGTTTTGTGTCTTCTTCAATTCTGTATTGATCTATTTGGCCTCCACCCATCACAGGGCCCATATTATCTATATTGCCTGCATTCTTGGCCTTTTTTTAGTGGGGGACATGGTCTCGCTCTGCCTGTAGGTGGGACTATAGGCATGCACCACAGTTCCCCTCTAATTTTCTTCTTTTTTGCAGAGACGTGGTGTCACTCTGTTACCCAGGCTGGCCTCAATCTCCCAGGCTCAAGGCATCCTCCCAGTGTGCTGGGATTACACACATGAGCCACAGGGCTGAGCCCCTTGTACACTGCCAATGCTCTGGCATCTGGTACCTCACTGACTAGGGAGAGACTCCCCCTCCCAGGGGTAGCCGACTGTAAAATTTTTACATCAACTTATTAAATCAGCTGGTCAATTCTGACCAGGAGCCATGCTGAAATTTTGATTAAGAAGTTCTTGGCCGGGCGCGGTGGCTCAAGCCTGTAATCCCAGCACTTTGGGAGGCCGAGATGGGCGGATCACGAGGTCAGGAGTTCGAGACCATCCTGGCTAACATGGTGAAACCCCGTCTCTACTAAAAAATACAAAAAACTAGCCGGGCGAGGTGGTGGCCGCCTGTAGTCCCGGCTACTCGGGAGGCTGAGGCAGGAGAATGGCATAAAAACCCGGGAGGCGGAGCTTGCAATGAGCTGAGATCCGGCCTCTGCACTCCAGCCTGGGCGACACAGCGAGACTCCGTCTCAAAAAAAAAAAAAAAAAAAAAAGAAGTTCTTATTCAGGTGGGGCACAGTGGCTCATGTCTGTAATCCCAGCACTTTGGGAGGCCAAGGTGGGCGGATCACCTGAGGTCAGGAGTTCAAGACCAGCCCAGCCAACATGGTGAAACCCCCGTCTCTACTAAAAAAAAGAACAATACAAAAATTAGCTGGACACAACGGTGCACACCCGTAGTCACAGCTACTCGGGAGGTTGATGCAGGAGAATCACTAGAACCCGGGAGGTGGAGGTTGCAGTAAGCCAAGATCATACCACTGCACTCCAGCCTGGGTGACAGGAAGAGTCCATCTCAAAAAAAAAAAAAAAAAAAATCAATTTGGGGATATTGACCTGTTAACAGTGAGCCTTAGCCAGGCACAGTGGCTTATGCCTGTCATCCCAGCACTTTGGGAGGCCAAGGAAGGCAGATCACTTGAGCCCAAAGTTTGAGACCAGCCTGGGCAATGAAACTTCATCTCTACAAAAAAAAAGAAAAACTACAAAAATTAGCCAGGTATGGTGGCACATGCCTGTGGTCCCAGCTACTTGGGAGCTGGAGGCGGGAGGATCGTTTGAGCCCAGGAGGTTGAGGCTGCAGTGAGCTGAGATCCCACCACTGCACAGCCCGGATGACAGAGTGAGACCTTGTCCCAAAACACCACCACTAGGCCATGCACGGTGGCTCACGCCTGAAATCCCAACACTTTGGGAGGCTGAGGTGAGCGGATCATGAGGTCAGGAGATCAAGACCATCCTGGCCAACATGGTGAAACCCCGTCTCTACTAAAAATACAAAAATTAGCTGGGCGTGGTGGTGGGCGCCTGTAGTTCCAGCTACTCAGGAGGCTGAGGCAGGAGAATCGCTTGAAACGAGGAGGCAGAGGTTGCAGTGAGCTGAGATTGCGCCACTGCACTCCAACCTGGTGACAGTACAAGACTCCATCTCAAAAAAAAAAAAAAAAAAAAAAACCACCACCACCAAAACAACAATGAGCCTTGTGATATATGAACATGGTGTATCTCACCCTTGACTTAGGCCCTGACACTCAGGCCTTTCAGACATGATCTGGCCTGGCCCCCAAGCAATGTCAGCCACACCACCTGGTGTAGATGTGAGACTGCTCTCAGAGCACCCTCATCAGCCAGCTGCGCCTCCACCCACCAGGAACATGCTTGTCCAGGCCTGCCCCCTGCCCTCCTTCCCCAAGAACTCCTCTTCCTCCCAGCCCTGTGCCCCCTGGGCGGGTTACGGCAATGCTTTGCACCTCAGGCTCCACATCTGTCAAATTGGACATCCTGAAAATACCCACCTCCTGACTTGTAAGATAAGACCATCTGGGAAGAGTTGCTCAGGCCTTGGGAGCCTCCTGGTTTACAATCTTCACATCCCTGCAGGTCTCCTCGCCCTTCTCATGTACCTGATGCTCAACGTGAGTCACATGGGTGCCACACGGCCAGGGAGGGACCCCCAGGATTCAAACCCAGGTCCATTCAAAGCTGAAACCTTACTGTGGGCCATGGGTGTTGGGGCTTGTCCTGGGCCCCTGGGGCCACTGGAGGGGAAGCAGGTGCTGCTGCTGGGCTGATTCAGCTCTTCCCCTGCAGCACATCAGCTCCCTCAGGCCTCAATTTCCATGCACACTGAACCAACAGCACTCTGGTCTCTGGGTCTCAGGCTCAACCATGCACCACAGCACAGTGCACCACACACTCTCAGGGCGCCCTTTGTCGCTGCTGCTGGCTCTCACACTTGAGGTTGGGCAGCACGGAGGAGGTTGGGCAGCACGGAGCAGGCTGGATGTCGGGATACTTTCTGGGTCCCAAGGTGTTTGGCTCTGAGTCCCACAGGGACCAGGCTGGGCTGCAGCCTCCTAAGCTTATGGAAGACAGGTTCAGGCCAGGGGACTCTTCCTCCACTGTGTGATGGGCAAGTGGCCCTGGCAGGGGGTCCCTCAGAGCTCCCCCTTTGTCTGCCTTTTTTTTTTTTGAGACAGAGTCTCACTCTGTTGCCCAGGCTGGAGTGCAGTGGCGCGATCTTGGCTCACTGCAAGCTCTGCCTCCCGGGTTCACGCCATTCTCCTGCCTCAGTCTCCAGAGTAGCTGGGACTACAGGCGCCCACCACCACACCCGGCTAGTTTTTTGTATTTTTAGTAGTAACAGGGTTTCACCGTGTTAGCCAGGGTGGTCTCAATCTCCTGACCTCATGATCCACCCGCATGGGCCTCCCAAAGTGCTGGGATTACAGGCGTGCGTGAGCCACCGCGCCCGGCCCCCCTTTGTCTGCTTCTTAGAGATACCCAGCTTTCTGGAGATCCCCTTTA